GCCGTTTCTCTCAGCATGGTTCGCCCAGACGGAAGCGCAGTTCGCACTGCGAGAAATCACCGCGGACGACACTAAATATTATTATGTCGTATCGGCACTGAACAGCTTCACGGCATCCCGAGTGGTGAGCTTCCTTAAACATCCGCCGGCACACAACAAATACACTGCATTTAAAGCCCACCTGCTGGACACTTATGAACTTTCCGACGCAGAGAGAGCCAGCCGGCTTTTTTCACTTCAGGGCTTAGGCGATGGCAAGACGTCTGAGCTAATGGATAAAATGCTTAATCTCATGGGTGAGCACAAACTGGATTTTCTTTTCGTTCAATTGTTTTTACGTCAGCTACCGGCTCCGGTGCGAGCGGCTTTAGCAAACACCTTCATTACTGCGTGCCGTGCGCTGGCTGCAGAGGCTGATAAGTTCTTCCTCGCTGGTCAACAGCACTTCATGGCTTCGTTCCTTCCGGCTCCACCGCTTGCGCCACCAGTGGCCGACATCACTGTTGCAGCGGCGGTAACCGCAAGGCACCGAGACCCTGGGTTATGTTTTTACCATGCCAAATTTGGACCCAAAGCTAAGCGGTGCCGTTTTCCATGTGCCTTCCGGGGGACGGGAAGCGCCACGGCCGGCGCTCAGCTGCGGCCATGAGCGTCGGCCGTGCAGGCAGGCTGCTGTTCATCCGGGACGAACTTTCTGGACGATGTTTCCTGTGCGACACGGGTGCACAAAGCAGCGTTCTGCCCACATCGAAGGTCGACGCCCTGGCCAGCGGACACGGGCCTCCCATGGAAGCAGCAAATGGCACCCCCATCCACACCTATGGCATGAGGTACGTGGAGTTACGTTTTGGCGGGCAGCATTTCAGTTGGGATTTCATCACTGTAAATGTAGCTGTTCCCCTCCTGGGAGCGGATTTCTTTTATGCATATGGTCTGCTAGTGGATGTGAAAAACTACCGTTTGATTGACGCTGTCACTTTCTGCTCTTGCGTTTGTACTTGCAGTGACGTGGACACTGTCAAACTATCCAGTTTACTCTCCACAGCCGATGAATTTCTCCTACTGCTAGCTCAGTTTCCAGCCCTAACACATCCCACGTTTTCGTCAGCTTCCACCAAACATAGGGTGGAGCACTACATTGTCAACACCGGCCCGCCTGTTTTCACCCGTGTTCGGCGCCTCAACCTGGCCAAACTCGCTATTGCCAAGGCGGAGTTTATCAATATGGAATGCCTTGGCATTGTTCGGCGTTCCAACAGCCCTTGGGCTTTGCCCCTCCACATGGTCTCCAAACTTGGCGGTGGGTGTCGTCTGTGCGGTGATTACCACCGACTAAATGATGCCACTATGCCAGATCACTACCCTGTGCCTCACATCCAGGATTTTTCTGCTCACCTGGCTGGGAAGTGTATTTTCTCCAAAGTGGACCTGGTCCCGGTCCACCCAGGGGACGTTCCTAAGACAGCAGTGATCACCCCGTTTGGTTTATTCGAGTTTCTGCGTATGCCATTTGGCCTTAAAAATGCAGCGCAGACTTTCCAGCGCCTCATGGACTCTGCACTTCGAGACTTGGATTTTCTTTTTGTTTATCTGGATGACATTCTGGTCGCCAGCACCTCCAAAG